CGACGCTGGCGGTGGGCCAGCCCCTCTCCCCGGGTCCGAGGGGCGCGGGGGCCTAGGGGCGAGGCCGGCCTCCGCCCGTTCCCAGGGCCCGCCCGGGCCCGGCTGGAGGGAGCGCCCCCGCCTCCAGGGGCGGGCCTGCCCAGCCCCCTTTCCCCAACTCTGGAAAGAGATTAGCGCAGAGCCGGGGGCGAGGCTGGGAGCCCGCGGGGAGCCGAGGGGGAGAGGAGGGCCGGCGGAGGGAAGGGGCTGCTCCCTCGCTGCGAGCCCAGGGGGAGCCAGGAGTGCGGCGAAAGCGCACCGGAGGTTTCGGACGGCCTGGGCGAGCCAGGAGAAAGTTGTTGAAAGTGAGTTTCTCAGAAGCACACTCACACACACTCACAAAGAAAGAAAAAGAAAAAGCTTACAGATGAGAGGCCCGGGAAGCTGTAAGAAAACTCAAGAGACTACGGAGGATGACAGAAGGCATCCGCACAGAAATTGGGAGCGCTCCAGAACAAGAACAGCCGGGGGGCTCCCGCCTCCACATTACAGGTGGACTGAGAAGGGTGCCCTAAAAAGCGAGGCTTGAGGAGTCCAGGCTTTGAAAATCTCCTTCTGGCCAAGTCGCCGGCAACCCCCCCCACCACCCTGGGTCTTCCCTGGATTTCTCATTTTCCTGTTTGCAGGGTTGGGGGGGGCGTGGGTGAAGATGCTCCTTTAAAAGTACAACAATTTCTTCATTCTCAGTCACAAACAACTACAGAGCAAGAAGAGCCGACTCCCCGGGCGCAGTGGCTCACGCCTGTAATCCCAGCACTTCAGGAGGCAGAGGCGAGAGGATTGCCTGAGCCCAAAGGTTCGAGGCCAGCCTGGGCAACTTGGCAAGAACTCGTCTCTACAATAAATCGACAAATTAGCCGAATGTGGTGGCGCATACTTGTTCAGCTACTTTGAAGGCTGAGGCAGAAGGACCACCTGTGCCCAGCAGATCAAGGCTGTGGTGGCTGTGAGCATGGGACAGAGTGAGACTCCAACCCCCCCCCCCAAAAAAAAAGAAGACAGGACTCTTCTTCTGGGCCCTCCAGGTACAGCCTCCAGGTGCAGCCTGAGCCTTTTCAGGTTCCGTCCTCCTGAGCAAAGGCACCTACAGGGTGGATACAGTCTCCACCCCCAGCCGGTCTTTATGGTGGTTGTAGCATCAGATAAAGGAACAGACCTTGTTGGCCCTGCCTCAAGGAGCTAAAAATTCCACTAGACTTGGAGAGATAATGAAAGGATCACAAACACCAGGCAGAAAAAAAGAGACAGCATGAACAATGTTAGAGGTGAGTTAGAGGTGAACTGGGCTTGGAAGATGGGTGGGGAGGGGGGAAAAGTCCTCACCCACCTCCTGGTACGCTGACGA